CGCCCGGCTGTTCCCTTTGTTTGGTCCGCGGCGTGTGCGGCGCGCTTTTTGCGGCTCCCGGCGTTCTTGCCCCCCGCTCCTCTCTTGCCTCTTCCCGTTGCGGGCGCGGGCTTCCCGGTTCTTGTGCCGCCTCCGGCGTTGGTTTGGGTGTGTCTTGCTGCCGCCGGGCCGGGTTCTTGCTTCTGCGTCCGGGCGCTTCCGTTCCTGCGCGCCCCTCCCCCCCCCTGCCTTCGCGTTGGCGGCGGTCGTTTTTGCCCTTCCGCTTTGGCGGCCCTCCTTGTCTGGCGTCGCTGTGCGCTCTCTCCCGCTCCCCGGCGTCTTCCGTCCCTCCTGCGCCGCGGGCCTTCCTTCGCGGCCCGCGTCGTTGGCATTGCGCTCCTGCCGGCCTCTGCCCTCTCTCTTCTCTCTCCTCCGGGCCCGGCCCTGTGGTCGCGGCCGCCTTGCGCCGCCCGGCCGTGCGTCTGGGTCGTCTCTCCTTCTTCTCTGTTGCGGCGCGCCCCCTTGGCTCTGCCCTTCCGTTCTTCGCCCCTCGCCTGCTTCGGTTGGCTCTCTCCGCTTCTCGCCGTGTCTTGGCCCCTCTGGGCGTTCCGTCTTCCTTGCTTGCCGGCTCCGTGGTTGTCCGTTTGCGGCTGCGGCCTTGGTGGCCCTTCGCGCTCGCGTGTTCGCGGGTGCTGGTGGTCCGGCTCCCTTCGCTCCTGCTGGCGTGTTGCGCTTCGCCGGCCGCCTCTGTGTTCCGCGCGTTGGGGCTTTGCTCCCGTTGCTCCTTTCTGCGGGCCCTGCGTCTCGCTCCTCTCTCCCTCCGGGCCCCGCGCCGCTGTCTCGTGCTCTGCGGCCCCCTTCTGGTGGCGTGGCCTGCGGCGCGCTCTTGCTGCCTTTGTTTCCCGTTGCTTGTGCTGCCCGCCGGTCCGGCCGCGCCTTTGCGGCCTGGTGGCGCGTTCCCGCGCTTCCCCCTTCCGGCGTGGCCGTGGGCGCGTCTCCCTCTGGCCTTCGTTGTGGGCTTCCCTCGGCCTTCCGCGGTGTTGCCCGCTTTGGGTCCTCGTGGCTCGCTTGCCCCGTCCGCCCCCTTCCTTCCTGTCCCTCCTTCCTCCCGTGCTGCGCGGTTCGCCCGTCTCTCCTTCGCGCGGTGGTTCGTCTTCCTGGTGTGCCTGTTTCCCTCCTCTCCGCTCGGGGCCCCCCGTTCCCCTCTCGCTTCTGGCGGCCCTTCCCGGCTGCGTTGGGTCCCCGTGTTGCCCTTCGCCCCGCTTTCCCCCCCCGCCTGCTGGTCCGTCGGCGCGCCCGCTTCCGGTTCTTGCGGCCCTGTTGCGGGCTTGTGTTCTGGCTTTTGGGGGTCCGTGGGCCCCGTTTTGCCTTTGGCCGCGTTTGCGTCTCCCCCCGCTCCCCTCTCGTCTTCCGCTGGCCCCCTTCGCGGCCTTCTCTGGTCGGCGTTGTCGCTCTCCCGTTGGTTGGTTTGCGTCCCCGCGCCTCGGCCGCGTGGTCCCGCTTTGCTTCCGGCGGCCTGGCTCCGGTGCGGGTGCTTCCGGCTCGGCTCCGGCCGGCTCCGCGTCGGCCCCCGCGTTCTGCGGCTCGGCGGCGCCGGCCTTTGCGCTTCTCTGTTGGTGCTCGGGTCTTCCTCCGTGTGTCGCCCCTGCCGGGCGTGCTGCGGTTTGGGCGGCGGGGCCCGCTTCGCCCCCGGTCCCTTGGGCCCTTTGCGCTCCTCCGGCCCGTTGGCGCGGTTGCTTCTGCGTTGGCCCTCCCTCCCGTCTTTTCCGCCCTCCCCCCGTGTTTCCTGTTTCGCTGCTGCGGCGGTCTGTTCCTGCTGCGTCCCCTGTGCTCCCGTCTGCTGCCGTCGCGTTGGCTGCTCCTTTGCCCTTTGTCGCGGCGCCCGTTGCCCTTCTCGCCCGCGCTGTGCGGCGCTTGCGCTCGCGCGCCCTTCCTGTTGTTCCGGTCCGTTGGCGCCCTCGTCCCGTTGCGGCGGCTCCCTGGGCGCTCGCGCCTGCGCTGCGGGCCCGTTCCCCGCCTTCTTTGCGCCTTCCGGTCCTTCTTGCCTCTTCCTTTCGCGGCCGCCCGTTCTTTTCGTCGTGGCTCTTGTCCTGCCCCTCCCGGTCCTTTTTTCCCTTCCGCCTTCTTTCCCTCGTTCGCGCCTTCCTGTCGCGCCCCCCGTCCTTTCTGCCTTGCTGGCCCTGCCTGTTCGGTCGCCTGGTCGTTCGTTTGGGTTTTCGGCCCGTTTCCCTGTTTTGGCGTTTTTTCTCCCTTGCCCCGTTGCCTTTGGTCCCCCTTCTTGGCCGCCGTGCTCCGCTGCCCCTTCTGCCGCTCGGTTCGCTTCGGCCGCTCCTTTTGGTCTCGCCCGCCCCTTTGTTCCTTCCCGCGCTTTCGCTGCCGTTGTGGCCTCTGGTTCCCCCGCTCCTGGCTGTGGGCCCCCCTTTTCCTCGCGCGCGCTCCCCCTGGCCCTTCCGCCTTCCCCGTTGCGTCCGCCTGTCCTTTCCCCTCCGCTTCCCTCTCCGGTTTGTCTTTTTCCGCCTCGCCCGCGTCCGCCCCTCGCCCTTTCCGTTTGCCGGGTTGTCGCCTTTCCCGCGGCGGTGCCGTGGCCGCGCCCCGTGCCGCCCCGTGGCCGCGGCGTGCCCTCTGGCCCTTTCCCGCCTTTCCCCGCCTTCGTCCCTTTTTTTGTTCCCCTTCCCCTCCCGCTTGCTCCTTCCTTTTGCCTCCCCCTTCCGTGCTTCCCCCGGCCCCCTTCCCGCGCTTTCGCGGGGCCTCTCGCGGTGCTCTCGGCCCGCGCGGGGCGGCTTCGTTGCGGTCCGCCTCCTTTTCGCCCCTGCCCGTGTGCTTTCCGGCTGGTTTTGTTCTTGCCTTTTGCCCTGTGCGCTCTTGCTCCTCGTCCGTCCGTTTTCCGTCCTTCTTGGGGCTCCTTGTCGCGTTTTTCGCCCGGCTCGTCGTGGTCTCCTCTGTTTGGGTTGCCGGGTCTCGTTTTTTCCCGCCCTTGGTGCTCCCGGGGCTGCCCTTTTCCTTCTTGTGGCTGCTTTGCGGTGTTTTCGGCCTCTGTTTGTGCTCCCTTTTGGGGTCTTCGTTTCGTCCGGTCTTGGGCCGTTTCCCCGGCTTCGCTTTTGCGCTTCTCCTTGTGGGCCCCCCCTCCCGTTTCTCCCCGCTTTTGGGTCCGTCTCCGCCCCTCTCCTTTTCGTGTCCCTTCTTCGTCCTGCCGCGGTGCTTCCCCTTTTGTTCGTGGGGCCGCCTTTGGCGCCCGTTCGGCGGGCCCCGCTCCGGTCCCGTGCGTTGGCGCCCGCGTGCTCGGCTTTCCGGTCGGCTCTGGTTTTCTCTCGTGCGCTTGCGCCTGTTTCGGCCCTTGTTTCTTGCTTTGCTTGCGTCTGGCGGGGTTCGGGTGTCGCGCCTGCTCCCTTTCTCTCCTTCCTGCCTTCGCCCTTCTTTCGGGCCCGTGTTGGCTTCTGCCCGCCTGTCTCTTGCTCTTCTTGCCTCTCCCTCTCTGGTGGTGTCTCTGCTCCTCTTGCTTGCCGTCTGTTTGGCCTTCGTCTCGGCTTCGCCTCGTGTTGCCCTCGCCTTGCGCGCTTTCGGCTGTCGTTGGGCCGTCGCCCTTTTTCCGCCGTCGTTTCGGCCGGTCCGCTCCTTGTCGCCTGCTCTCGCCGCCTTGCGTCTGCTCGTCGGTCCCTCGCTTCTGCCCTGTTCCCTCCTGCCCTGCTTTCTTTCCTCCGTGTTCCCTCCTGTCCCGCTTCTCTGCCGGCTCGTCCGTCCGTTCGCGTCCGTGGTCCCGCTTCCTTCTGTCCTGGCTTCGCTCCCGTCCCCGGTTCGCGTCCGTGGTCCCGCTTCCCTGTGCTCTGGTTTTGGCTCCCGTCCCCGGTTCGCGTCCGTGGTCCCGCCCCCCTGCCCGCCCTTTGGCTCCCGCCCCGGTTCGCGTCCGTGGTCCCGCCCCTCTCGGTTGCCTCCTTCGCTCTCGTCCCCGGTTCGCGTCCGTGGTCCCGCTTGCCCGTGGTGTCTTCCCCTTCCTCCCTCCCGCTTCCGTTTCGTCTTGCTTCCTCTCCTCTGTCGGTTGCGGTTTTGGCGGTTGGCGCGCTTCCGGTTCCCGTCCGGGCCTCCTGCGCTCTTGGCCTCTGCTTGGGCCTGGTTCCGTTCCCGTCCGGCCTTTGGTCCTCTTGTGCTCGCCCTTCTCGCTCCCTTCTTTTCCTTCCCCTGCCGTGCCTCTGCCGGGCTTCTGGGGGTCCGTGCCGGTGGTTTCTTTTCTTGTGCCCGCGCGTCCCCGTCGGGTTTCTGGGCGCCCGGCGGCGTTCGTTCGCTTGCTTGTCTTTGTTGCCTGTCCGCTCGTGTCCCTCCCCCCTTTCCTCCTCTTTGCCCTTGCTGTGCCCTTTTCTTGCCTTTCCGTTTCCTTTTGCTTCTCTTGCTCCGTCGGCCGCTGCTGTCTCCTGGGTCCCTGTTGTTTTGGTCCTCCTGCTCCGCTCTGCCTCTCTTTTGTGCTGCCGGTCCGCGCCCTCGTCGCCCGCGTTGCTCCGCTTGGCGTCGCCTTCTCCGGCGCCGGGGGTGCGCCCCCGGCGTTTTGTCCTCTTTCCGTCTCCCTCTGTCTCTCTCGCCTTGTCTTTTTCCTTTCGCGCCCGTCCCGCTCTGTTGTCCGGTTTTCGGCCTTGTCCTCCTTTTGTCGTCGCTCTGTCCTCGTGCCTTCCCGGTTCTGGGCGGGCTCTTTCTTTGTCTCTCTGTTTTTGGTTTGTGTCCGCTTGTTTCTCTTGTTCTTTGCCTCCTCTTGTTTCCTTTCTCCCCTCCGCCCCCTTCCTTGTTGTTCCGGGTTCCGGGTTGGCTTCCCTGCTGGCGGGTTCTCGTCGGTGCCCTCCTGCCTTGGTCCTCGGGTCGTGCCCCTTGGTCTCCGCGCCCCGGTTCGTCGGTCTCCCTTGTCCGCGCTCCCGTCTCGTCGCGTCCTGCCGCTCGGTCCGGCGCCGTCCGTTCCTTCTCCTCGGGCGGCTCCCGGCTGTCTTTCGGCCCGTGTTGCGTTTGTCTCCTGTCGTGCCTTGTCTGTCTTCTCGGTTTCTGCCCTTTTCCTTGTCCCCTCTTTTCTCGGGCTGGCTCGCCCGCGTGGTCGGGCCCCCGCTCGGGGTCGCGGCCGCCCTCGCGGTCGTTCCCGCGTTCCCGCCCCGCCCCGGCCCGCGCGCCCCCTCCGGCGCCGGTGCTCGCGCCCCCGCCGTTCCCGCCCCGCCGCCCCGCTGGGCCCGGGCCTCGCCCCGCCCCCGCCTGCGCCTGTGGCCGCTCCCGCTCTCCGGCGCTGCTCGTTCCGCTCCTCGCTGCCCTTGGGGGTCTGCCGCCGGCCCCCCTCCCGCCGTTCCGTCCCCGCGGGTCCGCCTCCCCCCGCGGTCCCGGTTGTTCCGCCGCTCGCGGCCCCGGTTGTTCCGCCTGCCGCTTTGGCGGGCGTCCTGCCCCTCCGGGCGCCGCCGCTGCTCGGGGTGTTTCTTCGCCTCTCCCGCCGCGGTTTTCTCGGGGCCGTGGGGGCGGCTGCCCCCGCGTTTCTCGTTCCTTGCCGCGCGCGGCTCCCGCCTTTGGGTTTCGTGGCGTCGCGCGGCGCCGCCTTCCCCGCTTCCCCGTTCGCCGGTCCCGCCCGGCCGTGGTGGCGTCCCTCCTTCGCGCCCCGGCCGCTGGGTCTCCCCCGGTCCCCTGGCTTGCGTTTTCCGCGGCCTTCTTGGCCCGCTTTCTTCCCCGGCGCTCCGCGCTCCGCTCGCGCTCCGTTTGCTCGGTTCGCGCCGGGCTCCCTGCCCGTCTCCGCGTCTGCGGCCCGCTTCCCCGCGCTCTCCCGGCCTGCCGCCCTGCTCTTCCCTCCTGCGGCGGCGCGGGTTCGTTGTTTTGTTCGGGGTTTGCGCCTCCCGTTGCGGCTTGCGCCTCCGTCTTTCGTCTCCGCGGGCCGCTCCTTTCTGGCTGTCGTGGCCCCTGCCCGCCCTCTCGCGCCGCTCCGTCGCGCGGCCCCGGGGGCCGCGGCCCGCGCGCTCGCCCGGCGGCTCGCCTGCTCGGCGTCGTTTCCCCCCCGCGCGTCTTCTGCTCGCTCTCCGCCGCGGTTTCCGTCGGGTCCGTCTCGTCGCCCCTTCCCGGCTTCTCTCCCGGCCTCGGCGGGTGCTCCGCCCGCCCTCTTGGTTTTCGTGCCGGTCCTCGTCGGGGCCGCGCTCGTTCCCCGCTGGTTTTTCTGGCCGGGGTCGCCGCCTCCCGCTCTCCGTCGCCCGTCCCCGGGGTGTTCTGCGTGTGGGGCGTTCGCTCCTTGGGCCCGCGCGTGTCCCCTCGCCGGTTCGCCTTCCCCGCTCCCCGGCCGTTCGGCCTCCGCCCGCCCCTCCCGCTCGCGGCCGCGGCCCGGGCCGGCCCGTCGGGGTGGTCCCCGGGTCTCCGGGGTGGTCCCCGCGGCGGCCGCTTCGGGGGCCGCGCCGCTGCCCCGGGTCGGGGCGTCCCGGCCCCTTTTCTGCCGCTCCGCTCGCGCCGCTGCTGCGCCTCGGCCGCTGTGCTCCCGGTCCGTGTTCTTCTGCCGCCGCCCGCCTTGGCTTTCTTTGCTCCCGGCTCTCCTTTTTCGTCTGTTTCTGTTTCCTCTGCCTCTCGCTTGCGTTTGCTGTCTGCGCCTCTGGTCGCGCGTTCGTGTGTCGCCCCCGTGGGTGCGTCTTTCGTCGTGGCTCGGTCTTTCGCTCTTGCTTCGTTCCTCTCCCGGGGCGTGCCCCCGGGCTGCCCTTCTCTTGCTTGCCCTGGTTGCTTTTGCTGTGCTTCTGGGCCTGGCTTGGTTCTCCCCTTCTCGCGCTGTTTTCGCTTGCTTTTCTCCGCCCGTTCCTTCGCCCTCCCGGTCTTCCTCGGTGGTGTGGCCGGGCTCTCGTGGTCGCCCCCCGTTGGGGTTCTCTCTTTTCTTCGTGCTCGGCGGCTCGTGGCTCGCGGATGCTTCTCTCTTTGGCCTCTGTCCGTGCTGTGCGTCGGGCGGTTTCTCCGGTTGCGTCCGTTCCTGTTGTTCGTGCCTTCCTCGCTGTGTTTCCTCCTGCTCTCCTGGCCTCCCCCCGCGCGTGCTGTTGCTTTTCCGCTTGCGCTTGCGCCCGGTCCTCGGCCTCTTTCTCTTCCGCCATCGGCTGGCTCCTGCGAGCTCACGGCGCTCCGTGTTCCGCTTCCGGCTCTCTTGGGTCAGGGCTTCTTCGGCCTCGTGTCTCGCCTTGGGGTGCCCCCGTCTCTTCGTGCCGCCGCCGGCCGGTCCTCTGCGCTTGTGTCTTGCCTCCGGCCGCTGCCCCCGGTGCCGGTGCCGCCCCGTTCCCCCCTGCCTCGTCTTGCTGCTTTGTTTGCTCCGCTTCCGGGTGCCGTGGTCTTTTCTCCGCTTGCTTTCCGCTCCGGCTCCCCCCGTTGCGGCTTCGGGCCGCGGCCGTCCCTCCGCCGCCTTTCGGCCTCGTTCTGGCCCTTCTGCGTTCTTGGTGCTGTCGTTTGGGTTGCCTCCTGCCCCTGCCCCTTCCTGGCCTTGCTGCCCCGTGCCCTCCCTTGCTTTCTTTGTCCTTGTCTTCCTTGCTGCCCTCCTGGTCTCCTCGCGGCGCCGGCGTGCGCCTGCGCCCCTTTGCGGCTCGTGCTCCCGCCTTTGCGCGCTCCGCGGCTTTCTGCCCGTTCTCCCGTGCGCGTTTTGGCTTGCGTCTGTCGCCTTCTTGGGGCCCGTGGTGTCCCCGGCGGGTCTTCGGGTTGCTCCGGCGCCGCTTGCGGCTCTTCGTGCTTGGCCCCGGCCCCCCTCTGTGCCTGCGCTTCGTCGCTTCGTCGGCTTGGCCGGCTCCTCTCGGCGTTTTGTTGCGGGCTTTTCTCCTCTCGCCGCGCCTTTGCCTCGGTTGCCTCGCCCGGCTGTTCCCTTTGTTTGGTCCGCGGCGTGTGCGGCGCGCTTTTTGCGGCTCCCGGCGTTTTGCCCCCGCTCCTCTCTTGCCTCTTCCGTTGCGGGCGCGGGCTTCCCGGTCTCTTG